TAAAATAATATAAATAATACGATACATTTTTTAAGTGTTCAATACGTGTTCCAAAGTATTTGAAAAATATCAGTATCGGATACGGTTACGACACAAATATGTTGAACCCTATAAGATGTTCGAGCAACTGAGCTTATTAGCTTTAATTCATGTGTATAGTACGTTACCTTAAAGTTCATACATGTGAGATATGAGGCTCAACCTAAATTTCATGTTAGATATTTTGTATAGTTCATAGAAAAATTAATTTATATAAACTTGTAAATCAAAATTTGTACGACTAGCTTATATTTAAAATGCTATTCTTATATACTAATATAGCATTTCGATTGCTTTCAAATCAACCAAAAGTCACCATTTTGAAATACTAATTTTATAAAATTTAGTATACAAAATAAAATTGATATAACTCTAGCATTTTATTTTATTGATATGCATACAAAGAAATTTCAAGAAAAAAAAATTAATTAGAATTTAAATTCATAATATTTTACATTATAACATAGGTGATAATGATTGAATTATTAACTGAATATATAACGACATAATATTTTATATAATGTTTATTAAATATAAATAAATAATATTAATGAGTATTTGATAACAGAATCATCCAAAGACGGTGAATTTGAAATTTTGGTTGGATTAAATTAATTACTTTAATTTATAAATACACACAGATGCATGAATGTGAATATGGTTACCAAAAACTGCATAGGAACATAAATGGCTTTCCGCCGATATATATATATTTCTGGCGGTATTTGTTGCCATCTATTTGGACATTTATTTTTCTGTTAAGTTTTTTACTTATATTTTTGGGTATGTTTTGAAAATTTTTAGAAAGGAAGGTTTGGTTGGAATTTCTACAAAAAAAAATTACTTTTCTCGGAAGATAGATTTTAAAAACAATTATAGAAACCTTGAATACCTTAAAATTATATATATTTAAATATAATATTAATTTAATGTGTGCTTAATTTTGATTATTTTTAATAATTTAATAAGTTTTTAACTTCTTGTTTGCTATATATTGAAAATTGTTGAGGGGTGATTTGGTTGCAGTTACTGTTCGTATCGAGAATTACTGTCCTAAAAAGATAAATTTAAAATTTATAAAAATGTTAAATAACTAAAAATTATATATACAAAATTAGGCGAAAAACTTTTATGGTACTCTCAACTTTAAAAGAAACCTATTGTGCTTTTAAAATTACGAATTTTGATAATATTGCTCACATTTTCATACTAACATATATAGTTAATATAGTTTTTCGCTTTTATATGTAAAATACTAACTTAATATATGGCTAACATAATTTTTAGAATAATAATTTTCATATTGTTTTATTGATCTAATTTTGTAAGTTGAAACATTTAATCATTTGCATATCAGTGGAGGTAGAACTTTATTTTTTTTTTTAAATTTTTTTTTCCGAAATTGTGTTTGAAAGAAAAGTAATTACGAAAATGGTATTCCTGAAAAAATACTAAAGTGTATTTTGAGATGTAAAACACAAATTAAGCTATTATTAGTGTAACAATAAGTTTTATTTAGACCATTTAAAATATGCATGTGAACAAAAAAGGACCATACTTTATAAATCATGACCTTGAAATATAAACAAATGACCATGTCCATAAATATTTTTTTGGACATAGTTTATAAATTATTCACACAACATTTACATTTTTTGGTGTCTTATGGTTAAGTTAATTAATCTTATTTTGAAGTGAGATTATTTAATTTAATTTGGGTGAGTCTATTCCAATTTAAATCAGATGTCTAACAAATGAGTTTTAATTTCAATTAATTAAATTAATTTGCTAAGAATAAGAACTAGGATAAGGTGGAGGTAAAATATCTTGAAGTGTTGTTGTCCATGTTCAAGAGGTGCACTGATGGAGAAGATGGGTGCTCTACAAAATTCCAAAGAAGAAGAAGCAGAATAAGGGAAAGCTACAGATAGGGTTGTTCAGCAGAAGTAGCTCTGTTTTGATATTTCCATATCTTATTATTTCAAAAATTTTCAGTTTACTGCAGATTTGAATACAAGCACCCTTATTTTCAAATATCTTTTCTTTTTCTAGCAATTAAACTTTTCTATTGTTAGGGGTAATCCAGAGTTCATCACCTAAATGATATAAATTCAATCAAAATCTTAAATTTGATTCCTTATGCCGGCGATCGGTACATTTGGACGGGACGAAAAGATTCCTTATGGGCAAAAAATAATTTTACCGTTCAGATCCAAACTGATTTGAATATCTAAATCGAATAACTTAATCAGAAATCCGACGATGTATTCGATTGAATTTGAAATGTCAAAAGTAGGTTAAAAAATGGGATAAAATGGAGATCTTGAAGGAAAATGTATGGCAAAGTTACTAACAAATGCCTTTCAAGAACATAAAGGCATTATCAGCGAAACTTCCACCGTTGTTTTAGGCCTCCCATGAATCAGACAAGCACCAAATCTCAGCTTATCTGGGATTATGAAGGCACCTCTTTTCTTACATTAAAACATACAAAAAGGGGGAAATTTTCCAAAAAATAAACACAGGAAAAGCAACGGTTGGAGGAGAAAACCCAGATACTGTAACTGGGTTTTGTAGCTTTCTCTTGCTTCAACGGCTGCCAATTGCTACCTTCATACGTATTTATAGCTAGGGTACCGCATCTTTTTATGGGTTAATGCTTTAGGTTTTAAAGTAGGAAAACATAAATTGGTCCCTTGAATTTAGTCTTAAACATAAAAAGACCTTTGTATCTAAAAATTAATTATTAAGTAGTCTCTTATTTATGATTTTTTTTTTTACATTTTTTAGTCATTCAATTTTAGGGATAACAATTTTATCCGACTTGAGTATTATATAAAATATGATTCGTTTTTTGTGGGGTTTAGGACGAATTTAAATTCGTGGAGTATCTTTACTACTCGTATTGAATTTTGAGTTCAAAAACTCAAATACCCATTATGATTACCCGTTGGATTAATATTCTAAAAATATTCAAAATAATTATTTTCTCAAAAAAAAAAGAATATATACTCAAATACCATTATGAATTACCCTTGGTTTATTAAATTTACTTTATTTTCCTCAAAAAAAAGAATATATTATATATTAATTATATCTTATCGATTAATATTATAATTATATTAAACATTGATATTATATTTTTTATCAACTCAAAATAAAATTTTATAATTATTTTATTTTATTTTTAAAAATAAAAAATAAAAATGATATAATTAATGTTAAACTGGTGTTTAAGCGTTTGGCCATGGAACATTAAATGACTAACTATAATCAAGTAATAAGAGTGAATTTCTGATCGGATTAATTTATAATCAAATTTGGATTCTAACAATGAATTTTAAGCGAGTGGTTTGCTAACAACCTATTATATTCAAAATATAAGGATTAAAGTATTAACTAAATCATATGTTAAAGAACTTATAACTAATTTTTAAAAAACAAAAGTCCTTCATGTTTTAATCTTATAACTTAAAAAAACCATTTCATATTTTCTCTCATATGGTCAATTTGGCATCTTCTCAATCCATTGATAATCAAATTAAATATTTTAAATAAAAAGAAAAATAACATTAACAAAATCATAATTTAAAGACCTCATAATAGATTTTTTAAAATAAAGATCCTTTCGTTAAAAATAAAGAATATATATATATTATATAGAAAAAGTGGGAATGAGAAGGAAAATAATGATATTACTTATAATAACTCGATGAAAGTTTAAAAATCTTAAAATATTCTTAGTCGTTGGATAATTGATAATAGAGAACTTTAATTTTTAATAATTGATAAGTTAGAGTTTTTTATATTTTTTATTAATTGATTTATATTATTATATTATTTTAATATATTATTATAATTGAAGTTTCAATCATTGATTATTTACGATATTATTTATTTAAAAAAAAAGGTTATTATTTTAATTTCAAAATAAATTTCAAAATGTTAAAAATATATATATAAAGACATCTATAAAAAAAATATTGTTTCACATGTTTTATATAATATCACTTTTAAAATTTTAAAATTTTTCTTATTTATATCTATTTAACTATATCTAAGTTTTTCAATTTTTTATATTTATAAATGCAACAGTTTAATTTCATTTTCTTTTTCCATAAATATTGATTGTCACAATTTTTTATATTTATAAATGCAACAGTTTAATTTCATTTTCTTTTTCCATAAATATTGATTGTCACATTACATAGTATTAGATGATTTTCAATTCCTGCAAAACAAGTTGGATGATTTTCTTTTATAAACAGAAGAATTGCACATACTATAGGGAATTACGAAATATCTATATAACTCTGTACCTCAACGTAAATTAATCAAAGTAAAATATTCTTAAAAAAAAAAAATTAAAAAATGGTATAATATGGTCCTTAAATCTTTCAATTAATTGGATTTTGCGGATCCCAAAACCATTAATCTAAACCGGTATCAAATCTAAAATCAAAATGCTCTTTTTTTCGCCGATTGAAATTTGTTCATTTGAAGGTTCATATATATTCAAGTTATTTTTTTATTATTTATTTAAGAGTTTTGTTTCTTTATTTGATTTTCATGAAATCAAATAAACATCTAATAACATAGGATCATATAATTTAGTTTTTTTTTAAAGAAATCCATCCTAATTAAAGTCTAACCTTATTATTTTCAAAAAAAATTGAAGTATAATCTTATAATTAATAATAATTTTTTTCATTTCATTGTCTATAATTAAATATACTTAGCTTTTAATGTTGTCCTATCATATTAAAATTTAAGAAAAATATTATTCGCTTATAATATGAATAATATTTAAATAGAGATAAATTTTAATTTAAAGTTGTTATCCATAAAATCATGATTTAACATTATATAAATATAAATATCTAAAGAATATAAGAGAAAAATTATAATCATATTTAATACTATACAAGAATAAATTAATGAATATAAACAATGAATAATACTAAATAATAACAACTCGCAAGGCGTTACAAAAAACACTAGTGTATATATATATATACACACACCAATATATTTCCTTCCGTCAAAAATATAAAATTATGGACAAATCAGCATTGCAAAATTAATCTCGCCGTATTATTATCCCCTAAATCAGAAGTTATCACATAACGTTCATTTTCTAAATTAATTTCTACGCATCAGGAAAATTCCTTGCCATATCATCGCATGATGTTGTTTTCTTCTTTTCTTCATGAGGGGACAGTGGGGGCGAGGCGAGGAGAAGGGTTTGAATAGGGTGCGGGATTGAGTTAGGGCCGGAAAAGGCTGTCTGGACTCTGAAAAAGATTCTAGCTGCTACTTGCTGTAGAGGTGAACTAAAGTGAATATGAAGAAACCTGCCATCTGCAAATCAGTAACCATACAAAATGCATCAAAAAAAAACTGTCAACATAAACAGTAATTTCTTCAACTGAAGCCACATCTTCGTTATCCCACATTGGTTTGGGATAAGTTTGGCTCCTTACTTTTACTCAACTTGCTTATCACAAAAGAAAGTACAAGAAGTAAATCATCTGGTTTTCATTTTTCTCAAAAAATATCCCCTCGAAATTGCATGTGTATCACACCTATGCTAAGCATAGTTGAACTATATTTCTACTCTGTGCATGCCAAGACTGCATTTACTGCAAGTCAAACCAGCAATTTTTTTTTAAATATATATATAATTTACTGCAAGTCAAAACCAGAATTTTTTTTTCTAATATATATATTATATATATATATATATATATAGGTTTAAAAGAACACTGAAAATTTGGAAGTTAAAGTTTTACAGTTTTCTAGACAAAGATAGTGAGGAGGTCTGTTCAAACTACTACAGCATTTCATATATATATATATATATATAGGTTAAAAGAACACTGAAAATTTGGAAGTAAGTTTTCAGTTTCTAGACAAAGATGATGAGGAGTCTGTTCCAAACTACTACAGCATTCCATATTTATGTCTTAGACAGAGAGAAGAAACCACCAAAAAAATACCAGGTAATAGAAATGCTTCTGGAAACTCAGTGGATAAAAGAAACAAACAGTGAGCCTTACCATAGAAAATGCTGCTCCATAATAAGGATAAGCTGCAGGAATGAACCTTTCATATGCATTATGCTTATAAGGACGGACTGGAATCTGGTAGTCAATTTTCAAAATCAGAAAGCCATGGCATTAGTAGCTATATCATAAAAAACCATCACATTTATCCAATCTAACAACCAATTTTATCGATAGTAAAGGAACCAAACATCGCAAATATTATTGAATTCATAAAATGCCAATTATCTTGATTAACTTAACTAGATTATTCATTACTTATGAGTAAGCAAATACCTGCTTTGATAGGGATAAGCTTGTATATCCTAATCTTTGGTACTCAATTTTGAACTGGAAAACCCCATAAACATCTGGTACCTTGAAAGCAGCATGATAGAGACCCTGCAATAACATGTGAACTGAGAATTTAATGAACGAAGGTCAGCAAAATCGTGTGTGTCCAAAATCAATAATCAAATAAAATACCTTCTTATCCGTCCATACGGTTTTCAAAACATAGGGGCTCATCATGTAAAACTGCAATTGAACATCATCTGCAACATATGGTTCCCAGCTTTTTCCAGACCACTCATATATTTCAACCAAGTATTCCTGCAGTCAAAGCCAAAATATTTTCCCGTCAATTAATTTGCCAACATGTCCTTAGATTTCACAACAAAATAAGAGCATACATAGTGAAAAAGAGATTACCAAGTCATCATTGATTCTGTATACTTCAGGTTCATCTACTTCCCCGCTTTTGTGGTGTCTCACGTTCACAGCCTATTAAATTAGATGTGCCATCAGAAATAAATAATATTCAATACTTTATAACTAAGCAGCAAAGTAGTAAACAAAAAAATTCACTTCTGAAACAACATCAGGGCAGGATGATATTCAGAAATTATTACAAGAAAATCTAGAAATAGAGCTGAAGACATGCCTTAGCTGAAGATGACCTCTTTCATGGAAAACCCATTTGCTGAGTTCAGTCAAAAATTGCTCATTACCAGATTTCTCATATCTGATATTGTTAAAAAAAAAAGTCAATTTAGCTTCCCTCGACAGTTATTGAGGACCATTTTATATATATATATATATATATAGGCACTTGGTTGAGCTCCCAGCCTTATGCACCCCAGATTTGAAGAATCTGAAAATAAGCAGCAATTTATCAGCAATTGAGCATGCATTAACAAAACCTTAGTTCAGAAAGCAACTGCTACATACCGATTGCTAAACATTCTTAATGAGCCAGCAATCAAAATCCGGCCATTATTTCTTGCCTGCGACAGATAGACTTTTAAGTTGTTTATACCTTGCGACCGTGCACAGAGAAAAATTCATCATGTCGAAGGCATTGAGGAAACATATATTTACTATTGAGGGGTAAAAATTTAACCCAAGAGTAACTCAGAGATAATTCTTAAGAATGAAAGAGGAAAAAGAGCAAAATTTTATGCAACTCTCTCATAGTAAGATACCAACATCGCTAGGGGTGTGCAAACATTGAACCAAACCCAATAGGGCATTAAAGTTGAACCAAATCAAACTGGTTCAAGTTTATTTTTTAGCTTTTCATACATTTTGGGCTTTTTTTTTAAGTTTCATGAAAACCAATCAGAACTGAAGAAAATTTTTATTTTTTATCGATGAAAAAATCGAACCACTTCTTTTATTAAAAACCGAACTGGTTCGGTTGGGTTGAAGTTTGCACACCCCTAACTATCACCATCTGCAATCACAGTTCTGTAACTCCCAAACAGAAATGACAACAGAGCTGTGATCACAATCTCACACTTTTTAGACTAAATGCAACTTTAAAACAGCTTTTCTACCAGTTAGGAATAAACACTTTACAATAGCCAATATGACTTTATAGGGGTGAGCATTCGTTTTGACCAAACTGAACCACCCCCTGACCAAATAACCCATTTTTTTAGATGAAAACCAAACCGGTTTGGTTTTCACTTTGACTATTTTGAGCAGATTTAGGTTTACTTTTTGGGTTTAATAAATAGCAAAAGAAAACTTTGGTTCCCTCTACTAAAACCGAAATAAAACCTTAATTTTATAATATCGAACCAAACCGGCTTGGTTTGTTTTTCAAATTTTTTCCAGAGTATTGCTTACCCTATGCCTTTCAATATGCTTGCTAATAATGAAATATGATCTGATTGATATTAAAATTAAAAAACGCCTAAAAGTAGATCATGGATAATCAGTCATTTTAACCCATAGTAGGGCAATGATGGTGATTTCATAAAAAATAGAACACTAAAAACTGTACAAAAATTCCAAAAGCTTTATACTGGAAGTACAAGAAAATGACTTTGCCCTGTTTGGCGATAGAACAACAACAGCACATACTCATCTCCTTAGAAATTTGAGGTGGAAAAGCACAATAACACCAAAACTAAAGCAGCAGGAGCAAGTGTACAGTTTAATAGTCGTCTCCATCTCAATAAATTCAACGGGATAAAACATAATTACATGGAGTAAATCACATGAGCACTGAAAAAGTTGTTAATACAACTTTTGGAGAAAGTGAGGAGTGGAAAGTTATACCTGCACAATCGACACTAAAGAGATGGCAGATCCAATAAGTGAAGGAGAATTCAACAACTTGGCCTTTGGATCAGCTGAATAGGCTGAAGGAGAAGCTGAGAGAACTTTCAATACCTTGAAAAGGCACAATAGTCCAAGTAAAATTAAGCAATAAAGTTATAGATGCTGCCAGCAGTTAAAGAGGAGAGAAGATAAAGGTATCTCACCAAGCTACTGGCGGGATTTAATGTATGAGCAATTCCCTGGAAAAGTACAGGAGCCTGTGGCAATACCATAAAAGCGTTAATAAGAATGGAAAATGAAAGTCTCAACAGCTACTGCCACCACTACTGAAAATGCAATTGATTCTCACTCCTAGACGAGTAGCTGCATAAACTCGACAAAGATGTTACAATTTAAAACACCAGAGACTTCACCAAGTCCTCATTATTACACACATGCATTAAAATAATTTTGCAGCACAGAGAGCTAATGATGTAGATAATTCCAATTTTCCGGTAACTGAAAGTATCTACCAAATAGTACCATAGCATATAAACAATAGAAACGCAGTAGACAATAAAATACTAGACAACAAATTCTAGAAGTGCAATTATTAATTGCAGCATTCAATGACCGCTAGACTACAAAAATTTACTTACTTCAATATTCTTGCCGCCCAGTATCACATCAGACTTAATAAAGTCATCACTAGCAATCAAAGTATGATCTCCTTCAGCCTCCGAAACCGCATAGCTCATGTGATCAATAACCATAGCCCCAGGGTCCTATAAAACATAAATTAAGCAGTGCAAACATGTCAATATCCATATGAAATTTGCACGAGACTGTAAATTGAAAACACAATGCTTACTAAATCAAAATCAACTCCACTCTCGATAGCAATTTCACGGATCAAATCAGAGGCGTTAACATCAGCAGCAATTATCCTCCAAAACCTACACGCATTTAAGATGATCAATGGACCTTAACAGAGTCAGAAAATGGAAAACAAAATTTCTGTTTGGGACGTAAAATTGACTGATAGAAACTTACGCTCGACAGTGGGGCAGAAGAGGATTAAAGCGTCGTATAAGTACTGGCCATAGAGTTTGAGACCGATCTTGGGATCGTCGGCGAGCTTAAAATCAAGGTGCAATCCGCCAGATTGAATGGACTTGAAGAACAGAGAATGTGAGGATTTTATAGTGAGATCGTCCAATAAAACAAGGACACGGCGTTCTGTAGATGATTCAGGATTGAAGGAATTGCAGAGAAATGGAAGGAATTGGAGCATAGACAGAAGGATTGTGAGTTTTTTGGCCATTTTTACTGTGTTTTTGCCGATTCAGATATTGGAATTCAAGAGAAAGTGAGATTTTAAGCTGCATGTAGTCTTTTTTTTTTTTTTTTTTTTTTTTAAAAAAAGGAATTGGAGCATAGACAGAAGATTGTGAGTTTTTTTTGGCTTTTTTACTGTGTTTTTGCCGATTCAGATATTGGAATCAAGAGAAAGTGAGTTTTAAGCTGCATTGTAGTCTTTTTTTTTTTTTTTTTTTTTTTTTTTTTTTTTTTCTTTTTAAAAAGTTATTTAAGGATTTAAAAAAATCATGAAAATAGAATAGAATTAATAAATTATTATCATATTTGGAGAATCTCATTAAAATATTTACCTATATTAATGTTTATACACTAGTGGGGTAAAGTGCTTCTAGCGAGCATTTAGTTCGTCGGATTGAACTCTCAATCTCACTAAGGAGAGAGTGTCGAAATGATATAGAACGTAAAAATCTCACTAAAGGAGAGAGTGTCGAAATGATATAGAACGTAAAGATTTTTAGCTCTCCCATAAAGTATATTTTCCAGAAAATGAATTTGCACTCTCACCCAAAATTGATACACCCTTTCCATTTCTCATAGTCTTTCTCCTCCAAGGATGTGAATAGGATCCATAATACTCTTTGTGTAGTTTGGGTTTTTTCCCGGTTCCACAAGAAACTCCACCCAACATTGGAGATAGAAGCAAAATATCTTTAAAAAGAACACCAACCAATCTCACAATTTTTATTGATTGATATGTCATTACAATTAAATGGTCATGAACAAGAAACAAATACAAATCAAATGACAATTGCAAACCATATACAAATATGTTAAAACTCTGAACCGAGGAGCTAGAAGCCAAGAACAATTGCAAATTGGAAGTATACAGATAAATATTACATTACACTACAAAATCATAAGCTCCTCGGTTAGCTAAAATCTACCAGAACACAGTACACATCTATAGAGATATATAAAGAGAAAACTGAGAAACATGTATAGAACCGACGGAGAAGCAGGTCAAATAAATGAATGTTTGCTTTATTAGCATTAAATCCGGTTGTTATCAGGTTCAAGTGAGAAAGTCCGTGCAAATCTCTTTACTATTGAAGCCATGTATTTTCCTTGATGCTCAGCAAGAGCCAACTCTGTTTCAGTTGGCTGCCTTGATCCATCTCCAGAAAAGACACCGGCGCCATAAGGAGAGCCTCCTCTAATGGAATCCATTCTAAACATTCCAGCTCCAAAGGTATAGCCAATGGGAACATATAGCATCCCGTGGTGAGCTAACTGAGTGATTGCAGTCCAGCTGTAATACGAACAAATCTAAGAAATCTATTGGTTGAAAATTGTCAATTTCACATCACACAATGATAAAAGTTTCCCTCAAATAATATGCAAGAACCAATTCTGCACTTTAGAAAAACTTTATCAGTGTCAATAGTAGAAACAAGGAATCTAAGATTAGATAGATGCGCCAACAAGCAAAAGATGAAACAATTCACTCATTTGCAACTCATGCATTGCTACTAGTATGTAAGTGGAAACTTGAATCTAAGTGATATTTTTCACATTAGTAAAGATACAACATCTTCCAAATGATTATAGTGGTTAGTTCGGATGCTCCAAATAAAAAAGCAATTATTTTGTCCAAGTTCAAAAAAGTTGCAGGTTCGGTAAGTAGTCAAGAGCATAAATGGGATTCTCCGGACAGAATTTCTGTAGATTTTAAATAAATGGTTCTTTAAAGTATGGAAATGGTATAATAGGACTGCATTATAGTTGTGTTATCAAATTATAAGTAATTAAAAGAAGAAGCCTAATTTTGACTTAATTTGAAATATCAGTGTTGCTTATAAGGTTAGCTTGAGTGAATGAATTTCATATTTGTCTTCATGAATAAAAGATTTAGAGCACCAAAAGCTCTTGTAAAGGGGACAAGAGCAGATGACAACCGGATGCTTACCGATCATGAATTCTCCAACTTGCATTATTGGACTTCATAATGAATAGACTTTTAGCAAAAATTGCACAGAAAACAGAAATGCAGTAGGAAATGAGAAAAAGCAGCCACAATACTGCATCATATTTGCCAAGTAAACTCTCCAACAGCAAACAAAGGACTGCCATGCGAGAAAAAATGATTTACATGATCATTCAGTAAACTGCAAAACAGTTTTTTACCAATACAATTCTATCAAACCACTGATATATTCGGTAAACAATTAAAAACCTAAACCCTTGCTGCAATCATGGATGCTTCTCACATGCAAAGCAATAGAGACTAATACACTCCAGCAGAAACATGTTAAAAGGATACTTCTGGATTAAATATAAAAAATATGTATACACATATGTATATATATATATGTGTATACATATGTGTGTATATATATATGTGATATAAGATATAAAAAATAGTATACACATATGTATATATATATAATGTGTATAACATAGTGTGTGTATATATATATATATATAATATATATATATATATATAAATATTCATTTCTCTTGCAGCGGCACAATCAACGATCAAACATCAAACTTTTAAAAAGGTAACGTGCAAAAGAAAATATAGATCACACTCATCTGCAATTTCTCCATTATATATATATATATATATATATAATATCATTTCTCTTGCACCACATCAACATCAACATCAACTTTAAAAAGGTAACGTGCAAAAGAAATATAGATCACACTCATCTGCAATTTCTCCATCATAATCGATATACTGTGGTTGCAATGGACACAGAAATTATAACAGTCCTTTTATAATCCTTAATAAAAATAAAATAACCTTCATTCATCAAGAAAGTCTTTTCTAAAAGGACCTGATCATACAAAGGAATCAAATGCAACAAAAAAAAAAAAAAAAGGAAAATACTAATACCAATATATCAAGCAAAATAACCAAGAAAATAAAAATACTATACTTACGCAGTGGTCTCTTGCCCGCCCCCTTGCGTGCCAGTGCTCACAAAGAACCCAGCAGGCACTCCAGCAAGCTTTTGCTCCATCCATAATTCGCTTGTGGAATCAAAAAAAGCCTTCATTTGAGCAGCCATAGAACCAAACCTAGTGGGAAAGCCAAACAAGAATCCATCAGCATTAACCAACTCATTAACTGATATAACAGGTACCTCATTTCCTTTAGGAGGCACCTTCATCTGCTCCAAAACCTCCATCGGTAATGTTTCTGGAACTCTATATAAAATCCCTTCAACCTCATCAATGGAATCCACACCCTTCTTCATTCTTCTTGCCAAAAAATCCACATGCCCATACATTGAGTAAAAAATGATGAAGATTTTAAGCTTCTTGACTGCTATTGTAGAGCTATTCTTAATCTGGGTGGTTATATTTGCGGGTTGGCTTTGGCTCTGGTTTTGGGTTGGAGCAGGAGAGTTTCTTTCTTGAGGTGGAAGAGGATCTTGATTAGATACATCTATGGGTATCTTGTTCTTACTTGGAAAACACCCACCGCCCTTACCCATATTAAAATTCAAAATGGGTATTAGCTTCTGCTACAATATAGAACTTTCAAAAATATATGAATCTTGAGGAAGGATTCTTGATTTCTTTCTTTTGGCTTGCAATTCTTAATGACCTGTAATTGTAATAAAAGAATGGTGGCAACAGCTGAAAAAGAAAATTGAATTCTTTGCTCAATTATACAAACAGCAACAACAACAACTAATTTACAGATATAGAAAATCAAGACTTTGGCTAGCTGCTTCTTGAGTTTTAAGACTGTTGACTTTACTTTTCGTGTTCTTCTTAGCTGTTCTTGCTGGCATTTTGTCCATAAAATACTATTATTCCAAAACGTCGACGTCATTTCTGATTATCAGTAAAACGCGACGTTTTAATTGTCTTTCTTTATGTTAGCTTGTTATTATTATTTTTTTTTTGATCAACATTTTATGTCGTCTCTTTTGTTTTTCTAAAATTTCAGTGCCTTCGAGTAATAGAATTTCAAATTGTTTAGAATAATTTGTTTAGAAAACATTTTTGTTTTTTTAAAATTTCCAATTTTGAAAGTGTTCAGCAAAATTGATCAATGAAAAATATTTTCTTGCTCAAATGGAAAATGATTTTTTTTAATATTTTCGGACCATGACAATTTCTTGCATAAGATGTAGGTATCCATATTTTATACTATTCAAAAAAAGAATTATATGAAATGAAATAATTTTTCGTCTCTACTTACAATTACAAAGCAATTCATAGGAAAGATGGAAATAACTTTCTTGATGAAGAAAAAAAAAAGAACATTTATTTGATAATCAAATATGGTAAACCCACATATGAGATCCCTTTGAAGGATCAAAACTCCTTGATCCTTTGGAATTCTTGTCTGTTTTCCTTCTTAAAAAATTTGTTCCATTTCAATGTTCAGGAGCTTTGTTCACTGCTAATATACCCATGAAGTGAAGCAGAGCTCAAAGAACAATCAGTCATGAAAATCAAGGCAATTTCTAACCAAATGTAGCAAGAGGACAAGAATGTTAAGACATTAGGGGACTTAAAAATTAAAACAGAGCAACATAATAATCTACATGGTTTCTCTCCAGCTATGTAAACATTAATAATGCACAAGATCAGAATACAATCTCATAAACACAGCAAAGCAAACGCCAAAATGCAGCTTCTGAAAACACAGTGAGAAGTGTGAAGCTCGTTTTTCGGAATTTAAAGCAATAAACTTGTACAGATGGGAAAGCTGTTGAATGTTGATATCTCCCAATTACTGAAAATCTTACAATTTAGTGACAGGGTATGCAGATATTGCCATTTTACCCTTCTTTGAGTGAACCTTTTCTAGACCTCTTCAGCTCCCATGGTGGTAGGCAGCCTTTATAGTGAGAGTGAAGAAACAATGAAGACAAAGATACTTCCCTTTGAGGCATTGAGATTGATGACCAGCAGCTGAAACTACTTGTTAGTCTCTTCTTTTCATTATCACATTCTCGGAAATCAGAATCGTGTCGTACAGTCGTAGCCTTGAGGGCTTCCGGAAGTATGCAATTGCATAGTGAACCTAAAGGAAGAAAAGCATGAGTGAAAATGAGCATAATTACCTGCACAGCCACTTTCTACTGGAGAAGATATAGATAAAAATCATAGATGACATGTGCTTTAGTTCAATGATAAAGCAATCATCTATTGGATTATGAGTTTGCAAGTTCAAACCCTAATTAAAGCCTAATTGAGAAAAAATAGTAATTGGGGAATGCAACTTGTATAAATAGTTTGTGCAATAAGTATGATCAAACTTATATTTAATGCAGCTAGTGGCAATGAGAAATATATCTTTACTCGATATTCAGGCAGAATAAGGCAATGGGAAGGCAACAAACAAAAAACTTAAACATAATCCTTCGCTTTCAGTATCAATGATAATAAAATGGGACAAGAAGTATTTGAAGTTCAAGTACCTATATCCCATTGAATTGAAACATTTATGCTCAAGATAATTATATGCTGTTCAAGGAAGGAATACACAATTAAATACCTATTCTCGCAAGTCGATTTACCCATTTTGGTATTGAGTTCCCAGTCAGCTTGTAGCATATATCCTCGGAGAAATGGTTGCAGTTCTTTACAATCAAATGATATGTATCACCAATGTAGCTTGCAGATTGGCGTTCCATGAACTCTCTAATCTGGAAAGGATCTAAGCATGTTGTCCCCATCAATATTGATTTCCTAAACTTGAAACCAGGACATTGTCGAGGTTCAACCTCAAAAACACCACTTGATGGATAGTCATGAGCTCCAAAGGCATATTCAACACCATGGACTGTAAGTATCCATTAGGACAATCAGGAAAGCACTTGTGTCATCCTGAGACATCATGATATAGGAAAATAACAACGATGGCAGAGTGTGTATCGACATATTGCAGATAGGTAAAATTATTTCTTTATTATATTTAAACCAGATTTTGTGTCCTAGTCGCAAAATATTATCTACATGCTTGTATACACATGAATATTTCGTATTGGTTATAATCATGCAAAAAAATCAATATGAGTATCCAAGGAATATAGGAAAACAAGGATGCTATACTTTTGGCAAGGATCAGGTTTTTAGTAGAAGATTTACACTCGAGACTTTTAATTTCAAAAAAGAAAAAGAAAAAAAAGAAAGCAAGTTCAATCTTCAAATGGTAACAAAATCTACTAGCAATAGCATGAATGAGTTTGAAGGTGCTGAAGATATACATTACGTTTCCTTTTTAGTTTAGTTATCACAATCAACATTACAAAAGTGATTACTAAATAATCACAAAATTTTGAGTAGAAACTCAACGAGAATGTTAAGCATCAGATGGTCCATAACATCAGATGGTCCATAACTCTAGAAGATTATAATTCATATAATCTACTCACAAAAAAAAAAAAAAAAAAAAAAAAAAAGAGATATACATTACGTTTCCTTTTAGTTTAGTTAATCACAATCAACATTCAACAAAGTGATTACTAAATAATCACAAAATTTTGAGTAGAAACTCAACGAGAAATGTGTAACATCAGATGGTCCCATAACATCAGATGGTCCCATAACTCTAAAGATATAATTCATATAATGCTACTCACAAAAAAAAAAAAAAAAAAAAAAAAAAAAAAATACAGAAAGACTGCTGTAAATCCAATGATCAAATGGGAAATGTAAATAAATTCTAAAACCTTCTACCCCGCAGAGTGAAAGATTCCAAAAGCCTCGCCCAAGTATAACAATAGCCATTAAATGGTTGTCAAGGTCATATACGTTCAGATAGACAAGGTGAAGTTTCCTGAAAAAAAAAAAAAAAAAAAAAAAAAAAATACAGAAAGACTGCTGTATCCATGATCAAATGGGAATGTACAATAAATCTAACCTTCTACCCCAGAGTGAAAGATTCCAAAGCCTGCCCAGTATACATAGCCATTAATGGTTGTCAAGTCATATACGTTCAGATAGACAGGTGAGTTTCCTGGGCCATAGCCTGCAGACTTAACTTTGGGGAAAATGCAAAAGCTGGTTGCTGACTTTCCTCGGAAACAAAGAGGCATGACAGAGTGCCATCCATTCTTTGGTCCTGTTTTCATGTTTATGGGTGAAAGTAGGAATGAGTCTACCTAGTTCTGACCTGCAAATACAGATGTACAAATATCAACTAATTTAGACAAGGAAAAAATGTTAAGAATCCAAAAATAACAGTCACAAAACATGAATTCTAAGAAATTATGATTCCTTTGGAACACCATTGCCATTTCCATTGATAATATGCTTGCTGCAAACGCCTTCACATGCATAAACATGGAATAAGTATAAATGGAAGTCTAATTAAAATCATAGACATGTAGCAACTAGCAATACATATCTTCCACTTATTTTGTTTTTGATATGATTATATGTATCAATAAAGTTTCTATAACTAATTGTTGCTTTTTTTTTTTTTTGTCAGTAAACAGACATATAAAGATCATTAATATCTATCTTTAAAAAAATTGAATCTAAGTGCATCCACTCTTTTACCGCCTGAGCCAAAGATTCAGGATCATACTTGTAATGTTAGCATCTTATTTTCATACAATGAGCTCAGTGATGCTTTGAAGAACAAAATTCAACTTTTCCAGCGTATTATGAAGCAACAAAGTAGGACTAAGAAATGAAGGGATGAAATAGGACTGCATCCATGTAATTGACCGGATTGCATTTGCATATGCATCTCCCAACCTTGAAACTTACATCATTTTTGGCAGAGAAGAAAACCACTTTTTTAACTTGTCTGGAGAAATCATTTTATTACTTCCCTAAACTAGGAAAATCTGGCCAGAGGTGCTGCTGTGCTATGTCTTATTTCTATCAATAATGCATGGCCACTTTCACAATGATGCCAAATTCTGAGTTGTCAAATAACATAACAATCTTATTATATGACTGCTTTAAGCTAATAGTATTATGAATACAATTCAAATTGCCAAGACACATGATGCTTCAAGTTCCATGTATGGCAGTGGTGAATCATTGAATCTATACTTCTTTTTCAACTATTTCTATCTTTGGAGTACGAAAAGGCCAAGCATCTTCAGCATATTTATTGGAAATTTGGAACAATTTCACAAATCAAGATATATTTAAAAACATAACATATTTAGTGCAAAGCAGAATATCTGGACAATCTTTTATTCTTCGGTGAGGTAAATTCCTGCAAATCCATGATCAAGAGAATAAGGACTCCAAGAACTTAGGTTAACCAACTATCTGGCACAAACTGTATTTTCTTCTTAGTCCTATTATGAGATTAATCAAAGATTCACAAATGAACAGATTGATAAACCAGTGGAGTACGTCCTAGATCCCACAGTGACTTTCAAGTACAGTGATTAAGGAAAAGTTTCACCATCTGCCATCATCTCTTTAAAACAAAATGAGCTAAATTAGCACTTGAAATTGGGACCAGGATAGAAGAGATACAATATTAAGCAAAATGATGACAAATGGTGAAACTGTAGAAAGAGGATCAGCTACACATTTTCATACAAAAACAACTCTTCAATCTTTCAAGAAAGCAGATCAGGCTCATAAACACTCAACAGTAGAAGCTAAGCAACTGTATTCTTAACAAACAAAAAAAAGGCACAAGAATGTAAATTGACCATACAATATGCAAGACAAATCAGGAGATCTGAATAAGCCAAAACCATCAAAGGACAAAATTGGAAACGAAGCCGCATTGTAAAAGCAAATCAAAGGCACCAACTTTCCTTGCTAAAATGGATACCCATTAGCAATTGCCAAAAAAAAAAAAAAAAAAAAAAAACAAATTCAAAAAGGCACCAACTTCCTTGCTAAAATGGATACCCATTAAGCAATTTTGCCAAAAAAAAAAAAAAAAAAAAAAAAAAAAAAGCCAAAATAACAGTTTAATTTTAAACTACCTACAGAACTAAAAAAAAAAAAAAAAAAAAAAAAAGCCAAAACAGTTAAATTAAACAAACCTAAGAACTTAGCAGCTGAAAAAGAAAAAACAATAATGCAACACAAATCAAGAAACAAAAATTTGAGAAAGCATACAACCCTAATATGAACAACTGGAAATCAAAAGTACACAAACAAAAAGAAGGAAGGAAAGAAAGTAAGTAAAACCCATTTAGAAAAACCGAAAATCAAAGACACCCATCTACCTTGTTACAGTTATAGAGGAGAGTCAAAAACCATTGCAGCTGAGAAAGGAATGCCACCACAAAAATGCCATTTTTCAATAAAAAGAAAGCAGCTCTTGAGAGTGAAAGGGAGGTGTGTTTGCCTGAAACCCACACATTGTCCCTTCTTTTGTTCTTTGTCCTTCCTACTGACAAAAATGAAAGCTGGAGGAGCACAGAAACTGCTGTCCTTTCTTGGAAGTCCAATGGGGAAAGAGAAGAATCAATAAAGAAATAGGAACAATATTGATATATAATTATTAAATTTACTGGTAAAGGTAAAGGAAGATTGGACTAATTGATTGTTGACTAACTGACATGCTTTTGGAAGTTGGACCAAAACAAGACTCTATTTCTTCATGCTTTTACCCTTTCTTTTTCTGTTATTTATGTTACTATTAATTAATTAATGTAAATATATTGTAAACCAGAGACAGCTTTATTATTGTTTTTTTTAACCCATAAAAAATATTCTAATTATATTAATAAAATAAATTAATTTTGCCAATAAAAAAACTAAAATAAAAGTTAAAATTATAAAAAAAAATTTAAAAGAAAGAAAAACCAATGTAAAAATTACAAAAAGTTTCCTTTTTTAGAAGATAAATAAAACTATAATTTAAGACAAATAAAAAAAAAAAGAAGCGTGTCTATTATTAGTAGACTGTAGAAATATTATCTTTTTGATACATTATTAATCATGATGTCATATCAAAATAAAAAGAAAAAAATTAAAAAAAATTGTAAAAGAAAAAAAAAGACCAAATAGAACTTTAAAAATAAATTGAAAGGGAAATAAAATTGAGTCAAGATTGGATATTTACAAGTACAGGGAGATTAAAGGCTAGATAATCCATTTTGCTTTGTTTTGTACATAAAAACTTGAACTTTGGAAATTGGTAACATCATTTTTGTAGGAAATAAATGTGCATTTTTTGTCAATATATGCAAGTTGCAACAAATTTGGGATCCTCGCACGTGTTTGCATGACTAAACAACTGTTTTAAATTTCTTTTCTCCAATCTGGTGAAGAGCTATAGTTTGGATTTTATTTACTGCAATAAATAAATTCAAATTTATCTATAAATAATTAAAATTTGAATTTATCATATTGAATAAAATCAGTTTGATTTAATTTAATTTTTTATATAATTGATTTGATTCAATTAGATTTTCGTCTTAAAATATTTTTGATTTATAGTGGTTTGATTAAATTTAAATCCAACGACTCGAAATCGACCTTTCAATAATAATGTTATTTTTTATTTTTCGAATCCAATCCAAAATTTTTAACTCGGTTCACCGAATACTTTCAGCTTTATATAATAGCGGGTGACCCGTAGATATTGTCATTGGAATTGGATGATATGGACCGTCCGCTAACGACACTATAAAAGATTCAAATTTCCGAGTTTTACTCATTAATACTTTCACACTCAGGTCAGAATTCTGCTTTCGCGCGCACTCCTCTCTCTCTCTCTCTGCTCCGTATGTGCTTTCCCGAATTTAAATTTCTTGGTTTCTCCTTGATTTTTCAGATCTAGAAGACGAGGGATATAACCTTTTCTGCAATTATTTGGTGATTATAATCCTAACCATTATTCTCTGTTCAAATGCTATATAAGGAAATTTGTATTTCCGTTTTCAAGAGATGCCTGAGTTCATTTATTTATTTTTGTTCAATTATAATATTCATGTTATTTGTGATTTAGTTTAATGATTTAATGCCTGTGTTGATTATTTTAAGAGAGGTCTACGTGAATTGGACTATTCTTAATTGAAATTGATAGGTTTTTCAAGATAGTTTCTGAATTATTTGCAAAGGAGTTGAACTCGAGTTGCGTTTTTGGGTTATGTTATACTCGGCTTTCATACATTAGAAAAGGTTGCTACTTTTGTTGTGCCTTCAAAATAAAGATGGGTTCTTGCGAATTCAAGATACCTGTTATGTCTTCTAAATCAATTCCTTTAACTCAGGTTCTGTCTCATACATGCATATTTTTTTGTTGTTTAATTAAACATCACTTGGATGTCCAAAATATCACCACAAATTAGAGACTCTAGGGTTAGCTGTCATTTGCATTTTCTAGAGGAAACACTCAGATATTGCTAATGTTAACCTGCTAACATCCGTTTATCTGTGATCAGGGTACAATTTTGAAAATTCAGAAAAAAGAAACAGAAGTTGCAAAAGGAAAGGACTTGGATACATCTAGGAACTGCAAGAATAGTTCAGATAATATAGGATGTTTGGTAATGGATGGAATGAAAGTGGGAAGGCATCCTTAGGTGATCGAAGCGATGCTGATGATGCTTCTCAAAGGTATATGCGTGTGTATATATATATAGATCCTTATCAGTAACTTCTTGTGCTTAGTTCTGATCTTCTTTCTTTTTTCTTTTTATGGTAAAATGGCAGGATCTCTGTTCAAATGCTATATAAGGAAATTTGTATTTCCGTTTTCAAGAGATGCCTGAGTTCATTTATTTATTTTTGTTCAATTATAATATTCATGTTATTTGTGATTTAGTTTAATGATTTAATGCCTGTGTTGATTATTTTAAGAGAGGTCTACGTGAATTGGACTATTCTTAATTGAAATTGATAGGTTTTTCAAGATAGTTTCTGAATTATTTGCAAAGGAGTTGAACTCGAGTTGCGTTTTTGGGTTATGTTATACTCGGCTTTCATACATTAGAAAAGGTTGCTACTTTTGTTGTGCCTTCAAAATAAAGATGGGTTCTTGCGAATTCAAGATACCTGTTATGTCTTCTAAATCAATTCCTTTAACTCAGGTTCTGTCTCATACATGCATATTTTTTTGTTGTTTAATTAAACATCACTTGGATGTCCAAAATATCACCACAAATTAGAGACTCTAGGGTTAGCTGTCATTTGCATTTTCTAGAGGAAACACTCAGATATTGCTAATGTTAACCTGCTAACATCCGTTTATCTGTGATCAGGGTACAATTTTGAAAATTCAGAAAAAAGAAACAGAAGTTGCAAAAGGAAAGGACTTGGATACATCTAGGAACTGCAAGAATAGTTCAGATAATATAGGATGTTTGGTAATGGATGGAATGAAAGTGGGAAGGCATCCTTAGGTGATCGAAGCGATGCTGATGATGCTTCTCAAAGGTATATGCGTGTGTATATATATATAGATCCTTATCAGTAACTTCTTGTGCTTAGTTCTGATCTTCTTTCTTTTTTCTTTTTATGGTAAAATGGCAGGACTGGACTTAATTATACATTGGATGACGCTGACCAAGTACGTCATTAGTTAATTTTATGTTGCTTAAATTATGATTTCTGATATGCTTGATACTTTGCTTAACAAAGCAAAGGCTTGTTTTTTCTTTCTTTTTTTCTCTTTTTTGAAAAGAAGTAAAGGCTTGTTATTGTTACTGGTTTTGGCTGGCAGCGGTATAGAAATCTGAAGGGACAGTAGGAATGCCTAATTGTTTTACAATTCAACTGCATTTCTCAAATGTGTTTGGATCTGATATCATTACTAATTTGGCAAAAACTCTTCATATTTTCAGGATTTTTGTACAGTTAAGCGGCAAAAATACAGTCAGATCAATGAAAATGGTACATTTTGAAGCTAATAGTTTTTTGTCTCTTTAGACACTTCGTTTCTTAAACTTCAAAAATTGCACAGGAGCCATTACAGGGAACAATATCACCGTCCGGCAATATAGTCCAAATCCAGATATTATAATGCCGGAACCCTCAGCAAAATTGGTTGAAACAACACCCAATTTGGGGATGAGGGAAACTGCGGCTGATGCTGGAACATCACCCATGAAGGTAACACTAAAACACATGTAATGCATAACTGCTAGTGACTGGTAATAACATGGTAAAAACAGAGTTGCTATGGCTGAAAAATGGGCTTAATTTTGCCTGTAGTTTCTGAACTTATACCCATTTCTCTTTCCCGCCCATAATCTTCAAAACAGCCCATAAAAATGATTGTACTTTTAAAACATAACAGTAAAGGCGCTAATCTTCAATTTGCTGATAATTTTTATGGGATGTTTTGAAGATTAGGGACGTTAAAGTGAAAGGAGTATAAGTTCAAAACGACGAGCAAAATTAAACCCTAAAAAATGATGGGAAAAAGAAACAAGGGAAACAATTTGCAGTATATGTTGACTTCCACGTATGTACCGAATTCCACATTCGATAATTCTTGTCTTCAAAGTCACAATTTTTCTTTAATGCTTTATTTTAAGTCTGGATAGTGGTACCTCCTATATTTGATCCATGTATAACTGTAATTGATGTAGTAATATATTGCTTTTCTGCTCAGGAAGAGTATGAAAAACTAAAAGTAGCAGCTGCAGCTCTGAAAGCTGAGCACAGTAGACTCACAAAAAATTTGAAGTATCTTTCTAATAAATGTATTAAACTTCAAGTTGAAAACAGAAGCATTATGGTACACCTTCTAAAACCCTGCTCCTTTCATCTCTTTGTTATGTGGTTTCTGCTGTTCATGTGGTTCTATAGCTCACCTACTTAAAGAAAATATATTAATTTCAAAAAAAGGAGCTGACAATGAAAGAACTTTGATTTACTGATGAAACAGGATGAGATTGCTGCTACACATGGGCCAGATGCTATCGCTGACCTCAGAGCCATGAAACCCGACGCAGAGGAGAATGTCAGCGAGAAACAATCAACTTCTAGCGGATAAAGAATTCAAGGTCAGCATGTACAGATTGAAGATAGAAACTAACTCTTTAGTAAATTATCAGGCAAGCAATATCCGCCCAGATGCTATGTATATACAAGATTCATTAACATAAGGATTTCTGTAGATAATGATTTTATTTTTTGTTCAAGACCTAGGAGTCCCAATAGCAAAAATGAGCTCAAAGAAGGGATATGCCCTGTTTTCTAAGTTTATATTTTGATGTAAATCAGTAAACAAATCAATTTGGATCACAAGAAGCCAGCAGGCAGATCATGGTGTATAATTAATTTATGAATTTATTAACTAAATCTTCAGGATCTTGTTCTCTGTCAAGTAATTACAAAAATTTCTAAAACCTAGCAATTCCATCATTTTCCTGTTCAGTTAAGCATAATTATCTATCGACATTAAAATTTTAAATCTTGAGATTAGAAAATAACACTTGCATTCTCTCTTTAATTTATATCCTCTACTAAAATAGGCATCACAGAAGGAAAATAGTAGCATTTGAAAAAAAGGGAAAGAAACTGTAGTATTTGAAAGAATTTTTGGTGTCAGTTTTATTCTCCTGACCTGGACTATTGTCTAGGCTCTGAGCAGAGGGAGTGTCCAACTGAATGTACTAAATCATACCCAGATTATTAATGATAAGATAATGTATAAGGCAAAACTTTTACTGGAGATGTATGTGTATATATATTTGTGTAGTTACGAGTTAAGGGAGGATGGGGGAAATGCACAGCATCAACCATGCACGGCCTGAGAAAGGCTAGACTCACAGCACTCGAAGGGAAAATCCTCTTCAGTTGCTGCTAAATCATTGGTTCCCCAACCAAAACCAACAGACTCAATCCAGGATAATTTGTTTTTGTATTTTAACCTTCACTCATCAGGAACTGCATAGAGTCTCATAAGCATCAAATTGAACAATAAAATTTGTGCCTGATTTGGAAAATTAGAGGCTTGGTGCTTTCCTCCTCTAAATGACAAAAGGGTCTCATCTGCATGCTCGTGGCATTGTTTATGTCATAAACTATAATACTCAAGTAAAACAAAAATGGTGATAGTAATTTCATTTGACATTCAACAAGCACTACACATTAAAAGGCTATTGCAAAATGTCCTTGCATTTCCTCTATGACTTGAACAAGGCTGACACATAAAAGTAAAGGAAAATTGAAAAAGCAACTAGCAAGCTAAGATTGAGAGGTTAAAGGAAAAAAAAAAGAAGAAAGAAAGAAATATAGAAAGCACAATTCTCTTTACCCTGGCAAACAGTCAAAACCTCTCTCAAAGAACATTGAGTTGTAAATGATTAAAAAACTAATCTGAAGTTCTGAACATGAACAGATACACTGACATCAACTCTATCTTTGCCGAAGAACTAAATTTTTAACAGATCATTTGACAGAGAACATCTGTTTATAGAAAAATAGCTCAAATTTGTCTCCGAAGGTCATTTCATCTTGGCCTTACCATTTGTGCTGGACCGCTCACTATTAAGTCTACAACATATTTGAAGCAATTAAGCAGGAAAGAGGAGCCTACCAGAAAATAAGCAGAAATAAATTTACCAGTCTGATCCATCCGGGAAAGGTTTCAGTGCATCTTGGTGGCCATTAACATAAAATTCAACAATCGCCTTCATTCGTGGAAGCTTATCAGGATGGTAATTTACATGAATAATTACAGGCTTGAGCTTGCTTAAGTTAGCATCTTTCCTTATGATCTTGAAAAGAACTTTGCTGTTCATGAAGAGATAGAAATCCATAGTTCTCCTTGAAGCATGAAGTCCATCATAACCAGGACGTGAAGGGAAAAAGAGTTCCTCATTAAAAACTGCTTGGTCCCATGCCTTCTCATGAGAAAGCCGATTGGCCACACGATCCAAAAGCTCAATTGAAGGAATTGTAGGTCTAATGTAGAAAAAGCCAGAGTTAAAAACCCATATCCTCATTGTATGAGCATATCGAGCCCATCCCATAGCAGGCTCATCAAATACATCATCATAACCATAAGCAGTTGCATTGTTGTGCCCATCAGTCATGGACTCGACATCAGAATCCCGATAAAGGTAATTGAAAGGGTTTTGCAAATATACAATATCAACATCTGAGAGAAGAACACTATATCCCAGTTGCAAGAACTCCCTTAATATACGAAATTTCAACCCTGAAACTTCATGGTTACCTCCTCTCTTTCCTACAGAATCAATCCCCTCATCTGGATCTCTCTTATACACTGGAACATCATTTGACTCGCACAAATTTGCAATTGAATCATCCAAAGCAACAACTAAATAATTAGGTATACCCACTTTCTTAATACTATTAAACCAAACCTCCAACATTTCTCTAACATTGGAATTTGCTAAAGCAACTATAATTTCTCTCTGAACAGCAACTTTCTCTAATATCTCTGTTAATCTTGGATTAACAGAATCATCTGGGATGACTGTTGGGTTCGTTCTTAAACCCTTAACAGTACCAAAAGGCCCAGCTTTATGTTGCTCACCCAATACCACAACTTGCTTTTCTGCTTGATCTTTCCCTTGTTCAGCTAATCTGAGCTTTTCAGTTAGCTCCTTAACCTGTTTCCTTAACTCAAGATTTTTATCTGATGCTGCTGCAAATTCCGATTTCAACATATTCAGCCTCTCAGATGATTCACATGGTTTTGATACCACCTATTACAAAGTACAAACAACCAGAAATATTATTCAGTTATTATTAACACTATGTCATTTGCTCAAGGTTAGCAACATTTTTAAAGAATTTGTTCTTCCCCATTTCAAATCCGACAATAAATTCGCCATCCCACAAAACGCGATACAATAAGTAAATAAAAAAAGAAAGGAATTTGAATACTGGGTTCAATATAATTCAGACTTCTAAACCAAAGGCACAAATCACGTCACATTTACAATCTGAGACTTCCATTTTCCCATGACATGAATTTCCAAAAATATGCCGATCCCACAACTAAAAAACAAAACTTTTTTTTTAAAAATAAAAAATCAAAATCATTGAGATCACAAAAACCCAGAAAAACAACTGAAAAATTATAAGTAAAATTGAGTTAGAATGGACAGCAAACCTTGGAAATTGAATTGGAGAGATGGCGAGAACGAAATTGAGAAATAGAGAAGAACATTCCATGAGGAAAAAAGAAGGCGAAGACACATCCGAGGAATATCCCAATAGCTATGGCAATTGCGATTCTCGATTTGCGCAATGAATGTGCTGTATTGCTGTTTCTCATCAAAGCACCCTCTCTGCGGCCAATCATCATCTTTGTCAATTATGTCTTCTCCAACACACTCTTAATCTATTCTTTTGCTTTCTCACATGCAGAGAAAGAAAATCATGTTTTTGCCAGGCAAGTCTAATGGGTTTGTATTATATAAAATACATTTAGTTGACTATGAACTCAGTGTTGTTGCGGTGGAGAGAGAGAGGTGGCTGGCTCAGTAAGTTCAGAGAATAGCTGTCATTAACAGCTGAAGGCTGAAGCAGTAGCGACGACGGAGTGGGTAAATTAATTAATTAATTAGTATTTAATTATTTCATCATGTGATCACCGGTTCTAATAATAACTGTATTATTGAGCGTAGTGTAGTTGTAGACTTGTTCTATACAACAGAACATTACGAATGGAAGCTATGAAACGATGTCGTCTACGGATTGGAAGAAACTTTCTCAAAGTATATTTTATGGGAAATTGATTTGCGTATTTAACATATATAAAAAATAACTTTCTCAAAGTATATTTTTTAAAAAATGTATACTTTCTAATAAATAGGTTATCTTGAACCTTAGACTTTTCTCTGTAACCTTTTAAATTAATTAAAAGAATTGTTGATGTTACTATATATATAATTTTTTATTTAATTTGGCTTCTTATTTAGGTAGAATTATATAGTATTTTTTATTTAGGTAGGATTGTAAATTTCCGATTTAATCAAGATAATTTTCCTATTTAGTCCAGTAATTATTTCAAAGCTCGTTTAAATTGATAGAATTTGAGTAATGAAATTCAAAAATTTTATGAATTTATTAGATTTCTTTATTTGGTCGAGAAAAAAAAATATCAAAATCCATGAAATCAATAAATTCTATATATTTTTAATTTCATTAACATATGTGAGATTTTCCCAATTTTCATAATTTTTTTTCTAAGTCGTGAAATTAAGCCTCTTAATTTCATTAAAAAATAGTTTTGGAATCCATAGATTTTGTTTTTAACCAAATAATAGAATATGAAATTTTAAAAAGTATTTGCAAGGCTTTAAAAAGTTTTTTTATTTTTTTTATTTTTTATGATATGTAAAATTTTACTATTTTACGACCCTAGTGTATTCTTAATTCGATTTTATCTCCCCTATTCAAACTTTCATGTTAAAAAAGTGATTTTAATAACCATAATTTTCACAATATAAGATATTTAAGAGTTCAATTTATGTCATCATCTTGCCTTTTGAAAATTAACCATAGAATCTCATTTTTTTATTTTCTTTTTCCTCCTTGTTATGCGAAAAAAATTTATGAAGAATGTGTGCAAATTTTTTGAAATGAGTTGCATTACTATTGTTCATTCTTTTTTATTCAAAAGATGTTGAACACTCTCTTCTAAACGGTTCAATTTTATTGAATTTAGATTTTCAATGGATGAATGCTAAACGAGGATGTTCAATGTGATTGAAAATTAACTTTTGAAATAATTCAAAATATAAATTTTGAATTTATGATGAATTCACTGTATTTTGAATTAAAAATAATAAGATATTAAATTTTATATTTTTAAAATAACAAAAGTATTTAAAGAACCAAACATTTTAAAAAGCTAAAAAAGTAAAAATTGAATTATAATTCGACCTAGCTGAACTTGAAAGAACGAAACAGTCAAAAATGAAGATGAAGAAGAGATAAGGTGATGCCAAGTTCTTTATACAAGTTTCTACATAAAGAATGCACATCTTTGGCTTTGGCTTAAATTTTCAAAACTATGGCTATCCTAAGTCCATTTTCTATACACAAGTAAATGAGCTAAAATTTGTACAGATCAATCTATGGTAGACATATTAGGCTAATGTTTTTATGCATATATGAATATATGTAAGCCTCGGAAGCATGAAGAGAAAAAACGTAAGAGCACATAAACTACAAGTTCAACAGAATTCCTAATGAAAGACAACATCAAGTTACCCTTGATGTCAGTGGTGCCTTATTCTTCATTGTCAGATTGCGATTCGCAGATCCGTCTCGCTGGGCCTGTTATAGCACCTTTTGCTCGTCTTTCCCCTGGGTGAATAAGATCCTGAACCACATGGTGCACTGACCACAAAAAGAAACAAAGTTAAAGAGAACTAGCAGGATAATAATATATTGAATCCTAATGCTGTACACACATATTTTTAACTATAAATTTAACAAAGATGATATTTTAAAAATCATTTGTGCATAAGATAGACATGAAATTTCATATAGTGAAATTATTGGAGGCATGCAATCTGCAGGGAGATACCCTTGATTAATCCAAACCCTTACCTGATGCTCGGATTTTCAGAAATAGTCCCTTTGCAAACGTCAATTTTTCCTGATGCGCACTTACAAATTGTTCCTGCAAATTCAGCAATCCATCAGATTACTTGTAATTTGCACTTCATTAGTTCAAATCTTATGTCACCTACTAATTTAGAATCGAAATCTTCTTGGCACATATTAAGTGGCATGAAATCATAAATTTGTGAGCAGTTACGCGCAAGATATTTTCAAACATTGAGAACTCTGTTGATAGAGGGTTTTACGTCATCCTTAATTCCTCATCTCTTGTCTTGGCATCAAATTGTTTCAGTGTGTCTGACAAAAAATTAACCTTTTTACTCTGAATACCAGGGTTTAGCATAAAATGACACAAATTCTTACCATTTCTCGAAGTACAAACTCCAAAATTTGATCAAATCTAGCTTGATGCCTCAACAAGAATGGGCGCAGATGACTCATATACAGTTGCCTGGCTCCCTGTCAGCAAGTAGTTACCCAATGATATCAGAACAATCTAAACATTTAAACCTCTCTTTTGATAAACGGTAATAGCTCATAATTGATGTTTTAAATGATCATGTTCAAATAAAGTTTACCAACTTAGATGTCATGCTGCCATGTTCGATAAATATGTCAATTCATGTGACAGGTTAATGATGCAAATTCAGCTCATGGCAATGAAAATCATTGAAGATGTAAATACAGGACCAATAACAGGTAAAAGTAGTCAATGAAGGTAAAGCAGAAATGTAATCTTACATTGACTGATGGCAGCTGCAGCCAAACAAGAAATGCAAACTTCGCATGATAGTAGAGAGGAAACCTGACGAAAACAAAGCAAAGGAATTTTTATTTACAATATAATATTACATCCAAAACTAATCAGCAAAAACAAGCATTAAAATCAGAACTGTCTCATAAAGAAAGGGAAGACCTGTACCAAAAAATTATTAGAATAACAGCACGCGATAAGCTTGCAAGTAAATAATCAGGGACTCAATAGGATGCTATTAATTGATCAATAACTTTACATGCTTCATGTGCGATTAGAATAAAAGAAATCAGATGCAAACCTCGATAAACTTTTCTTTGCAATTAAAAATTCTTTTTTTCACCAGCAAACGCAGAATGACCTCCATTTTTCAAAGTCCACACAAGCAGAGTTAACAAAATCAGTTCAAAGCCTTATCCAACTAATTTAACACAATCATAACAATCAATCACATGTAACAAAATAATGAAAACATATCTCAACCCAACAACAAAATATTAAGGCTAACAGGATCGGGATATATTAATTCAGTATACAGTATTAGATCAGTAGCCAATAAATCAGAAGTTCTAAAAGATGATATTATTTAGTAAATTGAACAAGTTACAAATGCAAATCTCCAACTTCTTTATACCTGAGCACCAAATTATTTTTTTGACAAATAAAAAAGGCACGGGGTAGCCTAATTATGTTTGATTTGCTAATCCGCTAAATCTTCATATATTCATCTTAAAAATAATAATAATATTAATAATGGGAAAAGAAAAGGCCTACACCATACCAGGATAGAATTTTATCTGCAAACACTTCCGCTATACTGAAAGTGCCATAAGCTGCAAAAAACAAGAATACTCGGTAAAAAGTATATCAAGATAAAAAAAAAATACCATTAGCATCATTTATTTTCCAAATCAACAGACAACAACTATGGCTAACGAATTTCCAGCACCTATCCTCTATACCCATGTGGTAAAATGCATATATGCAGATGCAATCACCCCTTTGAAGATAGCAAATGCACGAATTAGCTTTACATAAGCCTACGAAGGAGATAGAAATGGACCCTACTTCCGAAATAAAAAGAAAAAAGCACAAAATAAATAAATAAGTAAAAGAAAGGATAAAAAAAAAAAAGAACATACAAGCACATGGTGGAAGTCTTTCTAACAATTCTAAAGCCTTCCAATCTTGCACAACTAGTTTCAAAAATATGATGCTCAATTCTAAATAGGATTAAGGCATAATTGAGTTGGATTTATCAAAACTCAATATGAAATGTGGTTTATTAGATTGTATCTTTAAGCAGTAACAAATTCTTGCCAACACTTATTCAACAAAAACAAAACAAGCACAAACAAATAGCATTTTCATCTAACATATCTTGTTAAGCATCAGAAAGAAAAGAATCTTAAACGAAAACTTGAAAAGTCAATAAAATTAAAGTTATGATTAAATTCATTAACAGAAACTAATAAAAGAAGTAGACATGCAAGTATGTGTATTATTTTAGTAATATAAGAAACATCAACCTGCCCAATATACAAGCCATTTTTGTTGCTCCAGTTGATCTTTATTCTCAATAGCCTTGAATGTTGAGTAAACAGGTAAAACTGTCCCTACAGAACAACTGCACAAACTATGTATGAGCAATAAACCCAACACTCAATATATATATATACAACACACAGGAAAAGGATTAGGGGCAAACCATGCTGCACGAACTACAATGTTGGAATTAATGGGGGAAAGAAGCAATTGCAAGCCAACCTATCAAAAAAAAAAAAAGTCATGAACTTCAAATACAGAAACGAATCGAGACGCATCAAATATTAGGTATACCAACTAAGAAGCTATCGATAAAGCTTTGATAGTCGGAAATTAAGGCGATCGAGAATCGGAAAATGAAAAACAGTGAATATTAGAAACAAATTGGTATAAGTTAACAAAAGATGGAGATCAAACTTGTAATTCAGTTAACATAGGAAGCGATTCAAACCTCACTTGGAAAAGCCATGAGAAATGAGTTCTGCAACGAGCACGAGAGTAAAAACTACGCTGTGCACTGTTACTGAAGAAATCGAATCAAACCGAATTGGATCTGAGAACTGAATTTTTTTTTCTTTAATTTTTTAGAAATACTGGTATGTAGCTATATAATTACTTTTATTTAATTTATAATTTTTTATATTGTTCATATTAATAATAAATTATTGAAAAAAAATTCATAAAAATTTTGATAAGAAATAAAGAATTAGATAACTTGTCAAGTACAAAAACTTTTTTTATAATATATACAATTTTTTGATAATATGAAAACAAAATTACCCATTTGTCCATTTATCAATTTTAATTTTTTTATGTAAATTTAGTATTAAAAAGAAAAACAATAAGTACACGAGGTTTCTGAAGTGGCACCTTTTATGTGACCATTATAATATGAAATAAAGAGCTTGACAAATATATAAAATTATGGAATCAAGAGATATTATTAATATTTAAAATTCTTTTGTTAAAATATCCCATTAGATTTTGATTATCACAGGTCTTTTTTTTTTTTTTCCTCTCTTATAATTATAAATTTATGTTTATAATTAAAATTAATTAACTTAAAAATAAAATTTTGTTACTTATGTTTGTGAAATTGATTTTTAAAGTTTTTGTTGGGATTAATGACATTTTTCTATGCTTATATGTAAGTTGAGTCAAAGTTGGAACTTCTTAGGACTCCCAAGCCAAATTTCAAGCTTTATCACTGAACCTTAAAATTCTTAATAGCACCATAATTGGACCATGAAATTTGCAAAAACAGAAAATAATATATATAAATACCAAATTGTCAAACATTCTTGAAGTTAAGATATAGCAAATTCCATATACACATTGCTTCATCAACCTAAGATTATCTATCTAGGGTCAGACCATGCTAAGTTGCCAACAGGAAGGTAAAGGCTAAATTGAGCTATAAAGGACCTAAATGTGCTGCTCCACCCTATGAAATAAGCTGTTTGGTTGCAGGCGGTGTACATAAACTCTGTATTTGTATGATGAAAGCAAAATAACTCAGTGCATGAGTTTTCAGTCTTTGGATTGAGAGAGAAAAGCTAATCCAATAACCGAGAATTCGCATAAACAGTAAGGATGTGCACTGAATCATTGTCCACTTGCATCTGTTTGTAATCATTACTCTCCTGGGCGGACATGAACTTGGACTTAGAGGAATGTATGATCAATGCAAGTTAATTTGCCATAGTTGCTCAAACGCAGTCTACAGTGCCAGTCTTTGCACTGCAGCATTTTTCTCGTAGGCTCATATCATGGATCGAATCACCTTTCTTGCTTCAACCAATATTTTGTTCATCCTGTTTCATATTAACAAGTTTTGCTTAAAAACTTAGCTGACAACATCATTTAAGGCATGTAATGGATAATTATGAGGATTAGAGACTAATGGTAAGGAAACATCAGTTTCTTTGAACATCTGTATGTAAAAGGATATAAAAATCAGACACTAATGTGTACATACCAGAATGTTAATTAGGATCAGAAGATGTTTCCCATCTTCCCCAGAATAGGATCGCATCTTTAGAATGTATAGCCTTGTAGAAGTTCTTCGTGTTATCAGATATTTTTCCACAGATATCAGAAGATGTTTCCCATCTTCCCCAGAATAGGATCGCATCTTTAGTATGTATAGCCTTGTAGAAGTTCTTCGTGTTATCAGATATTTTTCCACAGATATCCTGTCCTCCATATGTTATCTCCTTCTGATAGATGAAGAAGAAAATCTATGAGAAAGCAATTTTGGAGCGATAAGAGGGATATCAAGAATTATTGTATTATTTCTCAATGTTCTTCACTGATATTTCACTGTAATATATTTCACTGTGTTATTACACTAATATTTGAGGAAATTTTCACAACATGCAACTTCATTAAAATTATTCCTTACGTTAACTTATATGCTTCCAAACATATTGAGAATGAATACTTTGTAGCATAAACATAAGAAAACCAGAGAGGGAGTATGGTCATATGGCTCATGATAGACTGCTTCTGTAATATTTCCACATACCTTCTGAACATGAATGGTGATGAATCCATCCTCGTTTCACACTAAGCAAGCATTTTCACAGAAGTGAGCCTTTGTACAACATATTTAGATGTTCTAAAAAGACAATATTTCAGTTGGCATGTCAGCAATTAGCAAATTGTCTGATGAGCCCATCCTCGCTTCACGTTAAGTGAGCATTCGCACAAAAGCAAGCCTTTGTACAACATATTCGTATGTTCTCGAAAGAACATTATTTCAGTTGGCATATCAGCAATTAACAGTCTTCTTATCATAGTGCCTCAGAAACTTCATATAGTTCTGCATTCAAGCAGGCTAACATTGAATATATAGAATATGCTTTCCTATGGGTTCTATCACCTGAGGTAAATACATGGGCTCCATTTTCCAGGTATAACCAACTGCAACCAGCAACCTTCTTAATCTCTTTTCCTCTCATCTTCTTTCTTATCCTCCCCATCTCCGACCAGTTCCCTCCTGCTGCATAAATATTAGCCAACTGCACATAACGAGCTCCATTGTCTCCCTCAATCTTTAACAGTTTATCCTCTACTTCTTTTGCTAGTTCTGCATTCCTATTTAGTATACAAGCATTCAAGAATGCCCCAAGAATTGTAGCATCCTCTTGTTCTATTGGAATTTTTTTCATAAGTAATACTGCCTTTTCTAGCTGATTAGCCCTTCCATAAAGATCAATCATACATGTGTAGTGATCAATTTCAGGCGGTATGTTATATTCATCGGTCATGGAATTAAATAACTTTTCACCTAAATCTACCAATCCACAGTGACGACAAGCTGATAGAAGTGCAATAAAAGTGGCTACATTTGGTCTGACTCCTTTCTCCAGCATGTCCTGAAACAGCTGTATAGCTTTAATCTCATGCCCATGATGAGCATAACCACCTATCATTACATTGTAAAAAATTGAATCTCTTTCACTAACCTTTTGGAAAAATTTTTCCGCATATGTTATACTGCCACATTTCGAATACATGTCAACCATAGCAGTGCTCATTTTCTCATCCATTGCAATCCTCATTCTGAATACATAACCATGAATTTGCTTTCCTGGACTAAGTGCAGCTTGCAGTGCACAGGCACCAAGCAAACTTACAAGGATCAAACCATCAGGAACCACTATTTCCTTAGCCCTATACTCATTAAAAAGTTCAAAAACAGCTTCACATTGCTGTAATCTTAAATACCCAGAAAACAAAGCTGTCCAAACAATAGCATTCTTCTCTGTTAATGAATCAAAAAGCCTACGAGCTTCCACCATCTTTCCTTGCGATGCATAACCCACAATCATAGAAGTGATGGAAAAGGAGCTCCCTATCCTACTAGCTAAATGCGTCGACTCCGCATAGTTCATATTTCCACACTTGCAATAAACATCAACTACACCGCTGTTTATAAATGGATTCGAAGTCAACCCATTCTTCAAAACCCAAGCATGGATTTCCTTTCCAAGCTTCAAGTTCCTTAAACCAGCGCAAGCACTCAGAAGGCTAGCAAAAGTATGCTCATTCCCTTTAACATCATTTTGCATCATGTAAAGAAAAAACTTCAATGATTCCTCCTCATAACCATTTTGAGCATAACCTGAAATCAATATATTCCATGAAACTGTATCATTCAACTCTTTATCCCTCCAAAACAGCTTTAAAGCCCTATCCATTTCACCTTCTCTACAACAAGCTGCTACCATAGCATTCTTTGAAACCAAATCAGCAACTCCTTCACATCCCTTAAACACCTCTGTAGCTGCTTGAAAACAACCACATTTGGAATACATATCAATCAAAGAACTCATAGCAAACCCACTTTTATCATTAGCTGTTTTAACCATATATGAATGCACCTGCCTCCCATAAGACGGCATGGAAAGCTTAGCAAACAAGTTAACCATTGTTGTCAGCGTAAACTCATCCATTCCAATATTATAACAGTCAGTTTGCATTTCAATAAACAACTCAAGAGCACTGGATTCATACCCATCAGCGCTTACATAGCCTGATAACATTGAATTATAGGTAACCAAATCTCTAACAGATGCGGAGTCAAAGACAACTTTTGCTTGTTTTAAGTTCTGTGTTTTTATGTGGGCAGAGATTATTGCATTCCAAGAGAAGACGTTTCTGTCGGGCATTTGGTCGAACAGTTTTTGAGCTTCTCGTGTATGGCCGTGCTTAGAGTACAGATGAATAAGTTGATTGGAGGTGAAGATGGGTAGTGTAAAACCAGCCTTTATGGAGCAGACTTGGTATCGAAGACCATCTTTTAGGGACTTCATTTATACGAACATAATACAGAGAAATTTGTACAATAACTTCAGTTGATGTTTCTTTGGCATGTAACAATAAGCCTCTGTTCCGTACAATTGAATTGCAGGGGAGAATGCGAACTTCCCCCTGTTAACTATTGGCCAAAAAAGCCATGACCTTTTGATAGTGAATGTGATACAAGACATATGGACCTTCCCATAACCAATTACCCAATACGGTGAATCGTCAAAACTATTATGTTCTGCCTAGTCCTCCGGATGACAACTCTCGAACTCAAAACTTTCCATCTCTCACACCAACTAAATTCCCTCCATATTGGCATAGATCAGTTAATTTTATAAGTTAAAAATTTATTGAAATATATCATATTATACTTAAAATTTTTTTGCAATAGCTTTCAGTATAATTTTTCAGTAACATCTCCACGGTTGCAATAGATAATAGTGTGATCTTAATCAAATGAGTACAATTACAAATATTTATAGTTTAAGAAAAAATGACCTATATTGAAAAGTTCAAGTATATAGAAATATTTGGAGAGATTTGGTTTTTTTTTTTTTTTTTTTTTGACAATCTACCAAAAAAATATTTATAGTGTTTGTAAGAAAAACCTGACCTGATATTGAAAGTTCAAGTATATAGAAATATTTTGAGAGATTTGGTTTTTTTTTTCTTTTTGCAAGAGGGTAACCATCACTTCGTTCATCGATCTAAAAAATAAAACAAATATCTTGTATTCTATATTGTCTCTCAGGAGCGCTCAGCGAAACAAGCCCGATCGATCTTCCACACTGCAAGTGACCTCCAAGGAAAAGACACTAAAGTTGTGTATTAAGGCATTCGTAGGAGAAGCGAAAAAGCACGCAAATCGCACATAATCAGGTAACTGAGTACGAATAGAGCCATTTGCTGAACTTTGATTTGCCAACAAATGATGACAACAGTTCGTTGATTAACAACTTCAACTTTTGCAATTTTTGTTATAAGCATTACGCAAAATCACATGATGTAACACGTTTTTTTTTTTTTTTTTTTTGCAAGATTGGGTCATCATCGTCATCGTCAAAAAATAAAACAAAATCTTTGATTCTATATTGTCTTCAGGAGCGCAGCGAAAGCCCGACATTTCCCCAGCAAAGTGACCTCCAAGGAAAAGCACCTAAACTTGTTGCATTTTGAGGGAGGAAAGCAACGCAAACCACAATCAGGTTGAGAGAGATTGAGCCATTGCTGCTTGATTTGCAACAATATGACCAGTTCGTGTGTTCAACATTTCAACTTTTGCAATTTTTGTTATAAGCATTACCAACACATCACATGATGTAACACGAAATGAATGTATTACAGCATCGACCGATGGACCATAACTTTGGCAGCTGCGTAGCCCCACTTTGCATCATCTGCACAAAACAAATTCACATAGAAAACTAGCATCAGCCTTATCTAAATAAGGCCCTGCAATTCTTTGTAACACCAGAAAGATTCAACATTCAAGTTTATTGCTTTGAGAGAATATTGAGGCTGATATGTCAAACTATTGCAATGATACCGCCTAAAATGCGTTCATTATGGCTTCTACTAATAATGTTTTCAAATGCTATTTAAGAATAAGAGGTTCAATTTTATTTGTTTGATTCACCTTGTAGCAAAATTTACGTAAGTGAAAAATATATGCATAATAAATACCTGCAATAGAGGCCAGACTAAATGTTGAAGGCACATTGGTCTCTGTCTCAATAGCAGCTTTGGCTACAGCAACACCAACTGCCACACTTTGCATAATATCTAAGCCTGAACAAAGAGAAGCAAGTATCCCGCCAACCATGTTGTCACCAGCACCTGTAAGCCTCACAACTGAGGCAGGAAGGGCAGGAAAATGTGCAGCAAAAAGACAAGAATGCCCCTCACCCTGCATAGCTACAGAAACTTTACTTGAGGAGCAGCTTGATGCTACAGTGTCGTACAACCATCTGCTAAATCCATTTCGTTTGGCTCTTTCCCAACTACTACTCATGCAGTTTGGGTCCTTGGAGCATAAGAACACTCCATTTGCACCTAGAGTAGCAACAACTATCTTGACACCCTTGTCTAGCAAAACTGAGATGGCAGGTTTTAACATTTGAAATAAAGATTCTGTTGACTTGATATTATCCCTTTCGATTGGATGAAACATGCTTCCAATCGACAAAGCATTTGCCATGGCAATAAGTTCATCTTCATTGGGAGAAACAAAAGTTACCTGCAGAAATCAATACATCAATTTGGTTTAACGAAGGAAAATAATTGTGTTCTCCATTCAATGAATTTTCTCTAAATAGGCTTTCCGATTAAAGTCACTAAATTCCACTTTTGAGCATCAAGCACTGTTAGCTTGTTAATTAACAATGACATATTCCATTGGTCAACAATACAAAAGTACAGCAGCAAGTAAGGCAAAGGTTGAAATGTATTTTGCAATTTCAAAAATTATTCGTGGGCCTAGTGCACGAAGTATTTCACATTTTAAAAATTTTATAATTTGTGAAAATTCAAAACAAAATGTCCTTATCATAAACTTTTTGCCGAAGTCAAATCAAATATGTGCCACACAAATAAGTTTGAGGTGCAGAATTTACAACCAACAAACAAACATAGTGGATGTATGCTGATTTTATCAGTCACATTTAATGCATGCATATATATCTAGAAAATCTTCGACCCTCCCTAAGTATCCAAAGGGAATGCGATACATCACAGGGCAATTGTAAAAGAATAAACATTACTGAGAAAAGTATCTTTCCTTTCATATTTCTGAACAAGTAAAACAGAGTAACCATCATGAAGAGCATTGGTGTTTTCTTCCAAAAAATTATTGGTTCATATTTACACAGAAAAATTCAAAGACCTCACCTTGTTGACAACTGAGGCGATTCTAATGGATTTTGCAACTGAAACAGGCTCAAACCAAACTGGAATGTTATATTCTGCTGCCACTGATTAGAAAAAAGACAGAAGTTAATTGACAGCGATGGAAAAATGAAAGGTGAGGTAAAAGGCAGAGCGTGGAGAATAATGAGCAGCATCAAGTATGTAATCTACCATAAGAGGTATACATAAAAGGGAGCAGAGAGAGAGAGAGAGAGAGAGAGAGAGCATGATATGTTATAAGTACCCTGACAAGCAGCTTCTAACGCAGGAGGATTCAGATTTGCATCAACCAACAATGCTGAAGCAGAAGAAATATTTCCCTTAAATTGCAGAATCCACTCAGGAGTGAGGAACTTTTCCTGGTGAAAGGTCATCATATAAATAGTTAACACCTGTATAATGATTCTTGAGGCCTGTACAAGTTCCAATCAAGTGGATTCTTTATCAACATAGTCCATGGAAAATAAACTTACAACTGCTTCCACATCTGCAACCCCAACTACAACCTCTCCATGGGTATCAAATGTGCTGGTTATGACAGCAGTTCTGGTATCTTGGTGTTTTCGAATGCCTACATCACCAATAATTTTCACTAATCTTTGACATTCTATTTGCTTGCCAAGAAAACAATGAAAAATATAAAATAAAATATTGCAAGTGGAGGAGGAAATTTCCTCTCCATATGCTATGAATGCCAAAGATTAATCCAATCAAAACCAAAAATAGCAGAAGTTATCAACCTGAGACTCTTTCCTTTCCTTGACAAAATTGATGTGACTTATCAACTTGAGGAATCCTCCAAGTCCTTAATTCCTTCTAATCAGACCAGCTATACCAAGTGGTAGTAACAATTACAGAGAGAGTTCCATTTTAGTTACATTTGTGGTGAAACTGGAAATAGTAGTGAAAATGAGAGATCCAGTCTAAGAACTAGCACGAATGATATACCAACAATTACATAAGCCACATTGTACAGCTTCCTATTCCAGCTGCAACACAAGAGCATAAAGCTCAATGTTTCTGTGTTATGTTTCAAATATACCATCTACCAAACAGGTCCTCCCCTTCTACCCCTCTTTCTGAAAATGTTGTATCCTAAAATCCTCTTCTGACTCCAAGAAAGAGAGAGAAAAAAAGGAAAAAGGAAAAAAGAGCTCCAAGCCTTAAATGTCCTTTTAGGTTTTTCCGCACCTTCAATTTCGAAATTAATACATATCATTCTACCTAATGCTTAACTATAAATCATTTTGAGGCAGATTCCAAATCCCTCATGTGGCATTATCATCAGAAGTTTCAATAACAAATACACAGGATTCAATCATGATCAAACTGAAGAAGGCTAACATTGGTCTAAAGATTAAATCCAATTGGCTTGCTAGGATTCTGGTGACAAAAAAACAGGTTCAACCTAACAATCTATTCATACCAAACACAAAAACATCATTGCTAAATTTCTACTGTATTTAAAGTGGAAATAAAATTCACAGGGTAGTGAACATACACTAGAGATCCAAAATAAAATCTCATGATACAAACAGGTTACAGTTGACACAAAAAAGTAGTTGAACCTTCAGTGGATAGCCCAGCAGAATTCCAGTACTCCAACAGCAAGTTTCCTGTCACAAGTAAGGAAAAAGAATTTCTCAGTTGGGAATATGTTTCAATAACTGCCATATAAACCTGATATGTTATGGCACTAGTAAATTTTGTATCTTCATAAAACTTATCATATCACGTATACATGCCAAATTTTATACATTCTGGTACGATTTGTACAAGCATAAAATTTATGAATGACAGTCACGTACAAGGAATATCAAGATTTGGGTAATTCATGGAGGCATCTACAAATTAAAGAAACAAAGTAAAGATATGATTTAAAACCAAACTTATAATATTGAAATGACTTCAAATAAATTTCTCAAAATAGCAACAGGCCAGCAGGTTTAAAATCTCTAAGCTGCTTAGCAAGAAAAGATCCATGCAGAAAACTAAAGTAAAAGTGTCTTAACTGCCAAGGAATGGACTTCTTGTATCTACCAACAATCTATTTCACATAAGTACTCCAAAGTTCATGTGATTTTCTGTGCAAATTACAAGGATTGCCTGCGTAATTATGTAGGATGTGCGTTCAAAAAGGAATGCAAAGCTCTCAGGGTTAAAAAAGGGAAAAGAAAAGTAAAATAAAATTACCAGCAATGTCAAGGCCCAAGGCACTAATCATGTAAGGCTTAGTTCCAAGCTTTGACATGCACTCAGCAATATTCCTTGCTACTCCTCCAAGTGCATATTGGACCTGCATACAATTAATCCCTTTATGTAAGATTCAGCAAAAGGAACACTTTTATGAACTAAAAACACTTTCACCAACATCGAAAGTCAGTCCAACAAATGGTTCTATTTCACTAATCAACCAAAAACAAAGTCAAATATAAAAAATTAACTAACTTTATATAAATATAGAAAAATTTAAATAAATTACAACAGAGTAAAAAGTGCTGAGAACACACACATATATACATACCTTGCCAGGAATGGTGGTTCTAGGACATGGAGGCATTGAAGGAGTGGCATGAATATCTAATACCATGCCTCCTATCACTACTGGGTCTCCCTCTTCATATTTTGCTTGCTCACCTTTCACTAAAACCTTAGTTCAACAGCAAAAGATTGCATAAAGTAAGTGGTACAAGGAGTAGAAATTGTTAGATAAAGAAAAAGAATGCGAGTGAGATAACCAAACCGGGTACAGTGTAAGATTATCAACATCGGGTGGCGATAAAAGGTGACGAGAAACGCAATTCAATCTCCTCTGGACATTGCCTTCCATTTTCACACTCCAAATTCCCAACTTCAGCTCAGTGAGAAGATAAAACTGAAAAGGAAAAACAAAGAGAAGTCATTCTTACAGACAGCAGTTGCTCGCTAATAAGGGCCTTCTGAAACGCGTAACTAGATGGGCCTTTTAGCTTCATTTTGTGGACGATATTTTTGGGCTTGACGATACTCTTATGAACACGAATCGGCCAGAAACAAGGCCACTCTGGGTCAGCCCAGCCCAGCCCAGCCCAGCCCAGACCAGCCCATTCCCAGCCAACTCAATTGTCCTTCTTTGTTTTTTTTAGACAGCACAACAAAGAACCAGAAATGTGATCAAAATTTAGTTAACAAGTCGTTATGTTGAGCATTGCAATTTGCAATCCAAAGAACCAAAAGCTAAAAGAGTAATGAGAATAGGTCTAACTACTCACACTAATAATACTAATTAAAAATTATTTTATGAATCCCATCATTTTTTAAATAATCAACAAATGCTTTATGTATAAATATTATTAAAAAAAGTGACTTATATATTCGCCGTAACGATCGTATCTAATAAATTGACTAATAAATTTTACATTAAAAATCTCATATCAGCTAAATAATAAATCTATAATGGGCATATAAGAGCGACAAGATAGTAACTAATTGGTTAGCATTGGTTAGTTAAAATCCAAGTAAGACTACATTATACATTTTCACTCCATAGATTTTTACTTATCAATTCAACTTTACCCTTTCAATATTATAATAGAAAGTACATTTTCATTATTTTAAGAAAATGTTAGAAAAAATATAAACATATATAATACATCTGTAATATATATAATTGTATAAATAGAAGGAACAAATATTTTACAAATTTAATGTTTCTTTTCTTTTTCTTGCTTTTTAAATTTGATGATTTGCTTTTAAATTTAAGTTTGCTTTTTGAAGGGGGTGCAATTGCTTACTATACATGACATTGAAAATTATAAAGTTATTATTCAAATTTCTTTATATATACATGAATGAGTATAATTTTTATTAAATAAATAAAATTTCTATAGATTTAAATTTAAATTCTCTCAATATTTTATAAAATATAAGAAAATCAATCAAACTATATTTAACGGCATAGATTATATAGATTTATCATTCGTTGGAGTGGATCATTAGGAGTAGTGATCACTATATTTCAATTAATGTGCTCTTTACTTTTTTGCCACTACGAGAATAATAAATTAAAAATTGATGTAAGAAAGTTCCCTAAACTTATCCAAAAGCATGCTTAATTAACAATTTAATCAATCCTGATACCTTTTAACAACATAATTTTCCACAATTAACAAAAGATTGGTCACTTTGCGGCAAAACCTTGTCTTTCTAATCAGAAAATTTTTGAGAAGATCAAAGTATTAGAAATTAGAATTACTAATTTAACAACATATTTTTTCCACAATTAACAGTATTTAGTTGTTAACTGTTTGAGTAGTTTTTCATAAAACGTTCAAAGCTAAACGTTACACGAGTTAACTTTTTTATAAAATACTACTTTAATCTTTAAAAGTTAGTTGAAACTTTATATTACTGAAAATTACGAAAAGCGTTAAAAACGCTAAAAATTATTTAAAAAGTTATTACCGAACACAGTTCTAAAATGAATTTCGAAAAGTATGGGCGGCGCATATTAGCATTAGAAAGTGTAGCAAAAATTTGGTATTGGGATTGATTTTGAAATCAGCTGAGGTATAATATATAATGTTTGAAGATGATAGCTTCTTTTCCTATTTTTAAAGATTGGCCACATATTTTGATAGTATAATTCCAAATTGTTATTGGAAAATATTCTAGTGTTGTAATTGTCACTTGAATTTAAAGTCATAGAGTAATAATTATGTTGATTTGATAGTACAATAAGAAGACATGGTATTCATTAATTGTCATATATAGGAAATTTTAAATTATTGGCTTTTCCTCCAATAAAAATTAATGAATTAATTTAAATCTAATTAGTAAAAAAAAAATCAGTTGAATAACTTCTGAAAGTTGTTTTTTTAAGATAAACAAAATAAATAATTTTAAAAAAATAAAATCAAATTATACCAAATGAGCCATTAATCTCTATTAAAAAGTCTAATATAATTCTTGATTAAGAGTCGCTTCAGTAAAATTAATTATTTTGATAACTAGTAGCATTTAGCTGTTTTAATAACTTTTCATAAAATGTTAAAAGTTAAATGCTATGTAGTTAATTTTTTATAAAACGTTATCGTAGTCTCTAAAAACTAATTCAAACGTTATATTACCGAACACCATAAAAGTTGTATTCGGCAACAACTTTTTAAGTAGTTTGTCAAAACTCTAAATGCTAGTTTTGTATATTGTTCGGTAACATAGCGTTTAAACTAATTTTTAATAAAATTAACTCATGTAACGTTTAATTTTTAACATTTTATGAAAAGTTATTAAAATAATTAATAATTACTAAAATAACTACCATACGCCAAAACAATTGATTTTGCTGAATAGACGCAAACAATAAGGTTTAGCATTTTGACCAGATAATTCTTTCAAGCCACTCGTTCAAGCCCACCACACTTTAGGTGCCACCTAATGGAATATCATAGGACTAAATACCAAATGCCTTTCTTCTCCCCCACTATAGATGTACAAGAAAAGGCCAGAGTAGCATGCAGTGCCCATCATATATATACGCGTTGACGTCAAATTCTACATCACATATAGATCTTTGGTGATGAATATGGTCCCCTTGAGACAGTCCAACGTTGATTAGTTTCTAACAATAAAAAAATCATTGAAAAATAAAATTGAAACAAAAAAATAAAAGGACTTTTGCAATGTCCCAACTATTTTGGAATTTAGTTTGGTAAAAATCAAAGTTTTAGATTATAAAAAGGAGACTTATGATGGAACTTTGTGAGGTGTGAGATTTGAAGGCAAAGTTTCAATGCAGGCCCTAAAATTTCCATTTCTGCAAATGAAAAGTAGAGGTGGGTACCCTAGTTTGTGGTAGACAAAGGGCTTGTACCCAATGCAATTGGAAGGCCATAAGGGCTTTTTCCTACTCTGCTATACCTATTAAAGTCTCTCAATGAAAGGGAATGCAATTTTTTTGTGCCAAACTTGAACTGAGTGTCCGATGAGGTTAGCTATGGAAACAAGTAGGTTGGCACTTGACATGCCATGTTTCTGTTACTATTCTTCACTTCAAGGGACTAGATAAAGGCAATTGAAAAATGAAAAGAGGAGTAAAGAAATAAAATAAATATTAGAAAAAAAAAATAAAACTTTGATTCAACTCTGGGTTATTAATTTTTTTTTTCCATTAAAAAGGGTTTTAACACAAAATGAAATGAAATAAAGAATGAAATACGAAATAAAATTGAATGGAAATATGAACGAAATAAGAAATTTCTATTATTATGTTTCGTACGCATGAAATAGAAATTTTATTTTCATTCTTTTATTTATTTTTTTATACGGAACGAAATAACATTGTGACTACACAGTAGGGGGTAGTCTCCTCTTTGAACGACATTCATCAAATTGGTGATAACTTTTGTGCTGGAGAAAATTCGAGCTCAAGCTTGACATTTCTCACTCCTTATATTTTCTACGAGAGGTAAAAAGACCAATCAGCCACAACTAATTGGCATTTATTTTTATTTGGTTATAAAGATGGGGAGGAATAGGATGAAAATCACCAAAACCCAAAGTACATAATGTAACCTAACTACAGTAAAATATTTATCTATGTCAACATAACAAATTTAATAACAATCAATGGCATAAAAAAAAAAAAGAAAAAAAAAAGAGCATATATATCTTTTTCTTGGAGAAAAAAAATCCATATTGAATTAATAAAAGAACAAAATCTCATTTAAATTATCTAGGAAACTGATTGGATCATTGGATTACTCCTTGAAATTGAGAATAAAGAACGTAGCTTTTTTACTATAAATTGAAGACTTTTTTTTAATTCTTTTCCTTTTTAAAAAAAATTAAATTTATATTATTAAATGGGTCGAATGGACAATTTGAAACCTGCCCTTGAGCCTCTAATTTCCAGGTTGCTCCGTAGCTGTCGTTTTTTGCGTATGAAGTACTGCATTGTGGACTTTTTTTGTTAGTGCAAAATTCATTACAACATCACAGCATCAGGAATAATTGTTTTTATGCAAATCGAACCATGTATGGACAACCCAAAAAAAACAAGAGAGACAACCTAGTTCTCAAGTTAATTAATTTTTTAATTAAATATGTTCAAGAATGGGGTTTATAATTCACTTAAATTAATTTTAAATGACACTTTTTTATAATATTTTTGTAAGTATTTTAATACAATTATGGAAGCATATAAGAATGGAAAGAAAGAAGTTGTGCTCTGAACCATATTAGAAATTCAAATTCAATTTTAAAATTTAAGGTTTCGTTTGTTTCTGTAAAATAACTTGCAGGAAAATATTTTCCACAATTTTCCATTTTTTGAAGCGCTCAAGAAAATAAGTCAACGAAAAATATTTTCCTAGTCAAAAGAAAATTAAGTTATTTTTTTTAAGGAAAACAACTTCTCATTCTCGAGAGAGTAAAACATTTTTCGGATATTGATGAACCTTATAAATTTATATTTTTAATTTATTAATCATAATAGTCACTATCTACCACCAGCCTCCACCGATATATATATATATAGCATCCTTTTCATATTTAACAATAAAATTTTATTATTATTAATATTTTTTGTGATCTTATGAGATAAAAATTTTAATATTTTTAATTAATTTTTATTATTACAATTAAACTACGAAAATAAATCATTTAAAAAATATTTTCTTACAAGTTAGTTTATAAAAACAAAACGGAGCCTCTAATATTTTAGTCTATTCCAAAACAATCAGCGAATTTGGGATCTCATTTTTTAGTTTGGGCAACTAATTTTATATGTCTGATTCGACGTAGTGGTTAGAAAATCCTCCATCTTTAATTTATGATGTAGTTATTCTTAATGCTAATAATAATTGAACCAATTTTCTATTGAAAAAGAAAAAAAAATGCAAAATGGAACCATATACGAGAAATATAA